AAAAAAACATATTATATTTTCACTATAAGATGAATCTGAGTAGAAGAAAATATATTATGAATAACTTTTCAGAGTTTTTGTTTAGTTGATGGTAAAAATAGTAAATAATATTTGCACAACATAAATTATAAGAATTTTTGGCTAAAATCATCTCTAAAGTATGACTTAAACCTAAAGTGCATCCTTGTGTTATATAAGTGAACAAAAAACATCCTTGCACTATCCAAAAATAGGGGTGTACATGACCGGGTTGGTTCAGGTTTTTCAAATATCAAACCAAACCATTTGTGTAAAAAAATTAAATTTATAAACCAAACCAAACTAATAAAAATCAGATTTTTTCGGGTTTTTCAACCTCGGGTTGGTTCAGATTTTTCAAATACCAAGCCAAACCATTGTGCCAAATTTTTAAATTTATAAATCAAACCAAATTAATAAACCTCGAATTTTTTCAGATTTTTGGATTTTTTCGGTAAAGTTTGCATACAAACATATAATTAACTTGTACTCCAAATATTTCTTTAGTCCAACAAAAATACAATTATCTAAGGTGTTTCTTAAGAAAATAACACAAAAAATGAGATGAGTACTGATGACACTAAAATATTTAATAAAAATAATAATGAAATCATCATATAAAATAAATATTGCAAAGTCATAAAGACAATGATCATAATTTAAAAGTACTAAATCATGCTAAAATAAGTTTAATAAGTATTAGTTACATTACTAAATATTTAAGGAAAATTAAAATTAGATTATGTATTTTAATTATCTAAACCAATGTAAAACGAAAGAACAAATATTCAATATTATTGTCATTCTTAGTGTTGAATTGATTTTCTTTTTGCATTAGAATTAATTTGATTTCGATTTAAGTTTTATTATAATTATCAACATCTATGAACTATAATCTTTATTGGACCATTCCGAATTTTAAGTTTTAAACTTGAAATAATATATTAAAAGATAAAAACTGTGAAATATTATAAGAAATATTTTAAAATTATATCAAAGTAAATATTTTTATGTATAAAATAAAATTTTAAAATTACATATATAATGTCAGGTTGGTTGTCTCGGGTTGAATTTTTTTAGTTAAAATCAGATTAGCCCAAATATAGTCGGATTTTATTTTCAATACCAAATCAAGTCAAACCAAACCATTAGTCGGATTTTTTTTCGATTTGACTCGATTTGCGATTTGGTTTGGTTTTCGATTCGGTTTTGTACACCCCTATCCAAAAACTTGCAAGATTCATCCTTATGTCTATTTTTATTTTAAGAAACTCACGCCACCAACAAAAAAATGTGCCAAGTCGAATGAATATATGTACACATGGTTAAGTTAGTCAAGTTGGGTGATTTTTCTAATTTTTAGAAATTAATGGTTTAAATCTATATATTTAAATTCTAAATATTCTTTGTAAAAAGTAAGGCCCAACACAACTCCAACTTCAAAATTTTCAATTTTTAAATTATTTTTTTTCATAACTAAACGCCTACGTAATTTCCCTAAATTTTCAGCATTTTTGTACATTTTATAAAATGTGAATTGGATTGTATATAACATACATACATACTGATTACTGGATATTTTTTTTAAAAAATAAATAAATAGTTGGGCGTAATATTTTTAAATATATAATCTTTCTAACCAACGGAACCTATTGTGTATAAATATTTCAAGACTTATGTATTGTTGCAAGTCAATTTACTTGATGATGCAAGAAAACATATAAATTTACAATACACAAAATTTAAATTTCGAGAATGAAAGATTCATTTCGAACTCATATCCTTAGTCTTTTTAGGTAACTTTGATCTTCTCGTCGTGGCAAAGACATGACCAAATTTTTAAAAAAAATTATTGATTCAATCAGTTTCTTAACAAAAATAAACTGGATGATGATTCTTATTATTTTTTGGATGGTATAAGGATGTCTTTTGCTCACTTAGATAATATAAGGATATACATTAGATTTGAGTCATAATTGAGGGACGATTTTAGTCAAAAACTCCAAACTAAAAAGTCTAAGCTAGCATCTCAAGTTTCAAAATATTTTTGATAAATAATATTTGGGTCAAATTTTTGGTGAAATTACACCATGTTTTTGGCCCCAAGTTTTTCCAAGAATATTTGACTACTTCAAAAAATATGATAAGTTCTAAAAACTATTAAAATACCCATAAATTTGTATTACCATTTTATAATGAATATGTTCCATTAAAAAATAACCTTATAATATAATTGATAACAATCAACAATTACAAATAAACAACATAGGCAACACAATACATTAATCGCATACTCAAGTTTGTCACTGATTCAATTATAATTATAAACCATTAAACACAAATTGTTCTTTTTTCTCAATTTTGTCACTAAAATTAGAACTCGAACTTTTTCGGAGGAGGTAGTAACAAATATTAGTTGGAATTAATGAATAATGAATATATTTTTTTTTTATAAAATATAAAAGTTTGGGGTAATCTTTGAATTTTTTAAAATTCCCAAATATTATAACTTGACCCAAATACTAGTATTTTCTAGTACTTAAAAATTTGGGAGGGAACTTGGGATACTTGGCCAATATATTTGTCAAGTTATATGACCCAATACCACTTCCCAAATTTTTCCAAGTATTCTTGGGGTCAAATGGGTCTTAAGCTAGCTTTGACCATGAATTCTAGATCATATTTTAAAAATTCATCTTTAATTATATGTTTGACCAGATATTTTTTGATTTATACCTTAAACAAATTCTTTAAATAAATCTTTGACCAAAGATTTTGAATCATATTATGAAAATCTGTCTTAATTTTTATTTTTTTCAAATTTCAAAAGGATTTTGAGAGAAATTACACTGTTACAAAAATTCATTTTTATTCTAAACACTACTACAAGTTCAAAGACCACTAATTTAAAACTCAAATTTTTAAGTTTCAAATTTTCAACTTCAAAATCTATATCCGAAAGCCAATAAAAGCAAAGTTATTATAGATTTATGGAAATAAATCTATAAATCAAGGAAAGTGATATCAAATTACCCAAAACCCTCAAGAATCAACGCGTTTATTTAAGAGTATAAATAAATGATCCACATGAATACGCGACTCAAACTGGTGAGATCAATCCAATTATATTCATGCACGTATAAACGTAAAACACTTAAAAACTTAATTTACCCTAAAATGTACAGTATTTTTTTTCACCAATATAAAATGAATCCGAATAAACCATGTGATGAATAACACTCTACACAAACGACTCAAACTAGTGAAATCAATTCAAATATTCATGCACGTATTATCATAAGACTCTAAAAATCGAATTCACTATTATTTTTTCTCTAGAATAAAAATAAATCTGAATAAAAAACATGGACGAACAATACTCCTACGTATGACATAATTTAAATTTCAAATTTCAAATTGGAAAATATTTTGGAAAAAAAGACAAATATTTCTGAAATAAAGGGAACCATATTCACACATGGTATAAAATTTAGGACTTAGGGTAAAATTAAAAAAAGAAGTTAACATGTGTTGTTAAGGCGCTATTTGAATAATTTTCATTCAAAAAAAGGCTCACAAACGGTCCAAAAATTCAAAAACGAAGCGGGTCATTTTTTGCATGCATGAAAATAACACAAACTTTTTTGAATTTTGAAAACAGCTCCACAGCGCTCCATATATACCCGCGCCTTCACCATTTTCTCACTCCCCTTTCTCTCTCTATATCTCTTTCTCTCTCTAGAATAAGCTCGAATCTGAGCATCTTCTTCATTGGGGAAGGCATAAAGCTCGGCTGAATTCTTCATCGTAAGCTTCTCTTTTCTTGATTCTATGGTTTATCGATTGGGTTTGTCAATGTGGTTGTTTAAAGATTTAATCTTTTTTGTTTCATGAGCATACATTTCGTTGTTGGTTTTTGTTAATCTGATGAAATTCATGTTAATTGTTTGTTATCGATGGATTTATTTACATGGGTTTTCTTTAATTTCTGCTCTGAATAAGCTTAAATCTGAGCATCTTCTTTGTTGCTGAAAGCCGAAAACTTGACTGAATCCTTCATCGTGAGCTTCTGTTTAACTGATTCTATAGTTAATCGATTTAGATTGGTAATGTGGTTGTTCAAAGATTTAATCTTTTTTGTTTCATGAACCTACATTTCGTTTTTGGTGTTTGTTAATCTGATGAAATTCATGTTAATTGTTCGTTATCAAAGAATTTCTTTACATGGGTCAATCGTTAATTTCTGCTCCTGATTTGTGTGCTACCCTAACCCCCAGCTGGCGTTAGTAGATTTAAGTTTTGGGCACTTGATGTAGGTTCATTTCTGTTTTAATTTATAGATGAGATATATATGTTTATATTAAATCAGCATCTAAGGCTGAAAAAGACAAATGTTTGCATTGGTTTAGTTAAAATTCTGAATTTTTTTTCTTGCCAAAGTTTGAATCTATAGATGTATATGTTATGTTAATGAAGTTTCATCTAATTCTTTGATAATTAAGATGTGTATATTGGCTAATGTTGTATTTGTGTTCCAGTGTGGTCATTTCTCCATATAATCATGGATTCGTTTTATCATATGCCATTTCAGTTAATCCATGTAGTCTGTAGATCTTTGTTCTGGCTTACTCATTGCGGATTACTAAAAATGACAACTTTTTACCATATGTACTTTTTTTTGAGTGGGATGAATTGAATGAATCCCACATCTAGTGAAGGTTGAGAACCCTAGCTTCCTTATAAAACTTGAGGAATCTTTTCTTTTCCGCTAGCTTTTGGAGTGCAAGTTAGCCTCATGATTTAATTTGACAGTTGGATAATAATGATAATATTTGTTTTTTATGTTCAAGATTATTATTTTTTAACAGATGAAAATTTTAAACCTTCTGTAATCAAGGTGCTTAAAATTTTGATGTTGCTTTTTTTCTTTTGTTATGATTTGTAACTGACCATAACCTGTTTGATATCTCTACCCAGAAAAAATGGACTTTTTGCCAGATGCCATTGTCCCGTGCATCTTAGTCTATGTAACCAATGCAAAAGATGTGGCTTCTGCTTCTTGTGTATCAAAGAGATGGAAGGAGTCAATTCCTTATCTCAACAAGCTTGTCTTCACTCGTAACATTTTTGATGATGTTAAGAGGTTCTCTCCTGATGACATTATTGGGCACATGGTTTCATCAATTAATAAATTGGAAGAACTTGTTGTGTACTGTCCTTTTAGTGGTTCTGGCCTAGCGTCATGGCTTTCATTGGCAGGACATTCTCTACGGAAGCTTGAACTAAAGATGGATGACAACCTTGTTGATATGAATTCTTGCTCCAGGAAGTTGGACAGTATCGGAGCAGCAACGAATTTGGAGTCATTGAAACTTTGGGGTGTGAATATGACTCGTGGCCCAAAATGGCACACTTTCCATAAGCTTAGAAATCTTGAAATAGTTGGTGCAGTAACAGATGACTCTAACCTCCATGCTGCATTAATGGCTTGCCCCAATTTGAGTAACCTGTTGCTCCTTGGTTGTGAAGGACTGACAGATGTCTTTATTGAGCTTCCTCATCTGGAGAAATGCAAACTTGATTTCAATGGCTTAGGTAAATGCTCCCTTACTGTCAATTCTCCGAAGCTTCAACATTTGGAAGTGCAAGGCTTTAGTGGGATCAGAGTCCCTGCGACTCAATTTCTCAGAGACCTCATCATTTCTAATACTGCAGGTACTGAAAATTCCATTTTTAAATACTATTTTAGTGCTCTACTTTCAAACAGTATCACAATCAACCAACTTTTATTGTAGGACGGGTTGGTGCTCTTGATTTTGGAAAGCTTGTGGCACTTGAGTCATTGGAGATGAGAGGAGTTCAATGGTGTTGGAGTGCTATACACTATATGCTTCAATTGGCAAGTGAAGTCAAGCATCTCCTCATGAAGGTGGAATTCACCGGGGATTTTGATGCTCTTCAGCCATTTCCTGAGATTGATATTGTTGATTTCTTTAACAGTCATCCCAAGCTAACAAAATTTGAAATCCATGGTGCCATGTTTGCTGCTCTTTGCCAGAGAAACAGTTTGAGAAATGTGAGTCTTTAGTTTCTCCTTGCTCAATGGTTCCTCATGGTGCACTTAATGTTTGTTTAGCTAGTTCATGACATTTGAAATCTTGGATGTTTGCAGGTGGACTCCAGATTTACGATCCCTTGCCTTGAGGAGGTTGTAGTCACCGTTAGGTCACCACTGAATGCTGAACAAAAGATGAGTACTCTAGAGTCTCTAATCAACTGTGGAAAGAAACTGAGGAAGATGAGAATAAGAATTCTTCAGATGAAGAGCAGCCATAGCAGCACAGATGATTTTTTTGAGGATATTTGCAAATTCACTCACAGTCATCGCAGGATTGTTTCAATCGAATAAAAAAGAGTAGCCCAGTGCACAAGGCATCCCGCATTAGCAGGGTCCTCGGAAGGGCAGCACACCCATTGTTTCAATTGAATAATGATTGGATATTTCCTTGTTCTCTTTGATTTTTATAGGAACATACTTGGACCATTTCCTTCTCAGTTCCTAGACATTTGTAATTTTATTTTTGTACCTTCTGAATTTTATAGCCAGACTTGGAGCTCAGGTGTTTTAAATTTTAAGCCAGATTAGAGGTGTTGAGGAAAATCATATATGAATTTCTTTGGTTTTAGATGAAATCCTTGCTTTTTTTGGAAATTGAGATGCTTAATTTTCATTTTTTGCTATATCCATTGCAAAAGCTTCTATATTGTCAGTACAAAGAAAAAGAGTTCAGTAGTTTACTATGGTCAGTGTAATGTCCATAGTACAACGAGAAGGAGTTTACTATGGTTAATGCAGTGAGATTTGTGGAACTAGTCATGGCTTGATGCTTATTATTGGAAAAGCTGTTCCTATGAAGCATTATAGGTCTCCGGTATCCAATTGAGGGCTTCACTTACAGTAGAGGAAAGCCAATTAATTGAGGGCTTCGCTCACTCATTCTTACCTTTGCCAATGACATGTTTTTTTACATATTGTTATGTTTTAAAATTGTCCTACAAGCATTTCTCTATTGATAACATTCATTTTTGGAAAGTAAAATGATAAATTCTATTATGTTATTGAGATGTTTAGCTTCAATCAATCTTAATGACATAATCATCGAAGATTATTATCACATGTGATGTCAAATTTTGTTACTAATTACTACCTCCTTAACTATGGGAAAAATATGTGGAGTGTTATTTTTATGATAATATAATATAGGAATAAAAATGTATGTATGAGTAATGAGTCTGTAATGTACTTGATTAAGAACACTTAAATTAATAAAAATACCCTCAAATTATAAAGTATTAACAAATTTGTTAACCCAAACACGAAATACTTTACAAATCCTCTTTGAACTAGATAAGATAGTTATATAAGTGTAATTGGTTATTACATAAAAAGCAGATAATGTACCCATTATATAAATTCTTTACACTATCAATATATATTAAGTTAAATTAATGTATCATAGTTATAATATATATCGATAGCATAAATAATTTATATGGCCAGCAAATATATTATTTAAAGGTTTGAATTTCAACTATTTTATCTTGATTGAAATGTTTTTTTTTGTGCAATTGATTAACGATGAAATTGCTTGTATTTTTATTTTATTTTTTGAATATTTCTGAACCTATAACATGTTAGTATGACATAAATCAGACATCTCTTAAAAAGGAAAAATCATATATTTCTATTAAATGGATATATGTAAATCAAAGTCGAACAATATAATTACCAATTTATCGCCAAAATTAAGAATGCTAACATACCACACTGTACCATGTTCACCCCTACCAATAGCTATACTAGCTGTTATCGAAGCAATTTCATAACTAAGGGAATTATCATGACAACTAAGAAATATATCAAGAATGAGCTCTCAGTCAAAGAAGCGAATCCAAAATTTAAAATTAACGGATTTAACATTAAAATTACGGATTCAAGAATAATACATTTGTTGGATTTTAGTAAATTTTTACTCACACATAATTAATATAGACATACACACACTTTGTGTTGAAAATTATGAATTCAGATGAACCTGTAATCAAAAGTCGAGAGAATTCCGCTGCTTAAATAAGCAAGACTGCTTCAGAGAATGTACAACAAGTCAACAACAATGTCCACTGAAATGATCAAGTGAAGAACAAATCTAAGTCATGAAACCTTTGCCTTCAATATCTAATACAGTAAAAGGTAGATCCACTAAAATCACATAAAAAGTGCCAAATGATGCTAGTCCTAAGATTTTATCTGCCAACTAGAATGTAACTTCAACCAAAGAAAGTCTAAATTAGCTTCTTCTTTTGGAAATATCGCTTCAGATACAATATTTGTAAAACCGCTGCCAGGACGCAGACTCCCAAGGATGCAAGACTAAAGCTAGCCACCCGCGTATTAGTTATTTCACTAACCGCCCGCATCTCTGCTTCTCTGGAAGGACATAAAGAAGATGGTATAAAGGTGAAAGAACAAGAGCAAGTAAGTAAACCAAAAGCATTGCATCTATAAACATATTTTAAAAAGTACCTGGTCTTTAAGTATATCAAATTTTCATGAATGGCCTCCACAGCTCCCTCAAGCTTTCTCAGCTCAAGTTCAATACCCTACTAGAGGCAGAAATTTCAGTAAAATTTCTACAGCTTCCAGAAAAGATCTATTAATCTACTTATCAGGAAAAGAAAAGCCAAAGTATGATCCTTTACCGATGTATCAATTGTACAGAAGGAGATAACGACTACATAACCGAAGCTTAAACAAGTTACAATACAAGCTTTTGTCAGAATTTTCTATTGCTAAACTAAATTGTCCTGATCTTGGATGAATCATTGAGTTCAACTTCCATCACGGAATGAAGCTTCCACAAAGCCTTTTTCCTGAATGATTTATAAGGTGACAATTCTAGCTTTCATAATCAAATCATAATTAATGCTAAAGATTGATAGTTAACTCCTTGAACATCCTAAGTCACAAAGTCCATGGGGCCATCCCTCCATCCTCACAAGAAGGAGAACATTCATGTGTCCAACCACTTGCCAACTCCAGAAACAATAAGCAAAGACACACAAAGGAATTAATGAACTCAAACCTCAGCATAAAGTCATGAATTAACCTTATATGCTCAGGACCACCATGCATAAATGGTTCATAAACAAAGGGTCTTCTACCAACTAAGGCAAAGTGTTCAAACGCACATAGAGGGCAGTTCGGTAAACAAAGCTCCCGCTTTATGTAGGGTCCAGAAAGGACCACACCAAGGAAAGGATAAACAAACAAACAAGCAACATAATTTCTCTTGGCAGTTAAATTGACTGTCCTATAAATCAGGTTACTTATTTTTTTTTGAGAATTAAATCAGGTTACTTATTCCCTATTGACTATCTTACTCAAAGTAAGAATCATCCTCGTACTCCCTCTGTCCAATTTCATATGACAATATATGATTGTACACAATATTTATGAATCTGTGACTTGTGTACTAAATTAGTAAATAGTAATAATGGAGAAAATATTAAATTTAAACAGAATGTTTGTTTGACTAAGAAATATCACATAAAACAGTTCAAATTTAAATAGTTAAATGGAATTTACGTTCTTTAAATTTGTATGACATGATATTAAATGAAATTGTGTCAAACAATTATGATGTCCCAAAATATAGATGCCATACAGAATAGGCCAATACTTTTTTTTCTTCAAACTGTGGACAATAAGAGATTTTACTAATTGACGCTCTCTCCATAGCTCTCCATGATTTCAAATCCAAATGACATCGATGACATTGATTTCCCTCATTAAAGAACTCTAGATTCATTTATACCATTATTAAACTATGGCCTTATTGACTCGTTAGTGAAACATGCTTCAAATTTATAGCTTTTAGTCCCCTTTTGTCCCTTGAGGGTTCGTACTTTCTTCAAACTAGCACGCTTTGGTTTCAGACAATTATGTTACGAACGAAGATCAAAATCTGAAAGGACAACAAAATAAGGCCCCACCTCTATCTTCTCCTTTCTGGCAACTGATTCCCAATCCTTGGCAGCAATTCCGGTTTTCCAGTCAAGGCCAACATTTAAGCTCTTACCTCCTGGATTATGACCATCTTCAACCCAAAAACAAGCTAGATAGTTGCCAGCCTCAGTTGTTGTGAAGGCAAACTGACCATGTGTCGTGTTCTCATTGTGATGAAGGGTGTTCCCAAATGGTGAGGTGACCTGCACAAGTAATAACATACTATAAGATTCACTACAATAGCAGAAATGATGAAATATGATAAATCAGACACAACATCTCCTGTAAAATTTGTACAGATGTTCTAGCCAACAAAAGGACGATAAACTATTTCAGTAAAACAAAGTAAAGAAACTTGAATCTTGAGAAAACACTCGCAATACCACTTTAAGTTTAAAACACGTCCTAATGTGTGTGTGTGAGAGAGACAGAGTCATTCAGGGCACAAGCCCATGAGATTTAATATTTGTTATCGATTAATCGAGCAATCAGGGATATACAAACATAATACACTACCCAGCTTATGAGTTGATGCTTTGAATCATTGGAGCTGTCTAGACTTTAGTAGTACAATAAACAAGAAGGTGAAGCAGTAGAGAAACATAAACAATTAAACTAAGAATACTATAATCCTAAGCGTTTAATCTGTTCTATGCAATCAAAGACAATGTTGGGACAAAAATTATTTGAATACAACCATCTATTTACTTAATTAGGGGAGAGCAGGGTAGTTTAAGGTGTGACTATTGAAATATTTGCAGGCTTGGCAAGGAATCTCTCCCATAATGCTAACTTACACATACATTTTCCTCCACTTTCTCCATGCAAATATACCTCCTTACCGCTCCTTGTACTAAACGGTAACCCAATAAAAACACCTGCATGAACGTGACACAAGGTGACAAGAAAAGAAGATTTACGTAGTGGTTTTCTTTTATCCTTTGCCAAAAGCCTGAAGACTTAATCTGCCTACAGTATGGCTTTGAAAATCTGCACCCTTGTCAACAGATAACTTAAGAGACTCAACTTTGACAAGCAGTTGAGTATCAAGTATAAGCAGGATCCCTATTCTATGAACTAGAAAAAGGAGAGTACTGTATTTGTATCAATAAAGATGATAACTTTTTTAAATTCTTTTGAAGGAACAAAGAACATATCAGCATCAAATAAGTAAAATCATCACACTATATACTAACTAATCACACTCCTATCAATAAGCATGCACAATTTTATTTGCTGTGAGTTTCACCTAAAATGATTAATGTAGCGGATTTAAAGAGCTTTCTGTACATTATGGAGAGTTGGGATATTTTAGTATTTTCTAATTTCTAATAGTCTACTTTATAGATAGGTATATGTTAAATGTAACAAGATTCAAATTGTAACTGTATCAAATATTACATGGTCAAGTTGAGACGAGTTTATACAGTTCACTCTCAACAACTAATTAGATGTCACTTATGCTAACTTTTCCAAACTTGTATCCAACCACACAGCAAGCTCAAGCAGGTTAAACAAGGAGGCTGCAGACAGAGCCTGCTTAAGGAAATGTTGCAAAAAACTGGTGTGTGTGTGTTGGGGGGGGGGGGGGGGGGGGGGGGGTATGTAAATTCAGGGAGCGACAGTCATGTCTGCCCCATAGCTTTTCCCTTGGAACCCATGATGCCAAGTGACACGTCCAATCTTAAAACCTTTAAGATTGATGTAGAATGTAGAGCCTAAGTTGATATTATCATGTGACCAACTAAAGCACAAGGCTACAATTAAAATTCAGCTAGAAATTGGATTAAGCTTATAGGGTGAAATAACTAGCAGCACCAAGTACAACGACATTGCAGCAAATTGAATCATATGATGATGCAGGAGCAAGAGCAGAACCAAAATCAATTTCAGCAGCATCATATCATTGGCCAAAGCCAAATATAAGTGTCTGATTCACCTTGATATGGAGCCTATCTAATACCTATTGTATGTGAGGTGCCAATGTAAACAAAGAAGATTATGCCTAACTACCCTTTAAGCAGATCAAATCACAGATTCATTTACATAAAGAAGAATTGAAGTACGCCAGCAAACTATGCATTCCCTAATCTTAAACTAAAACTAATTAAAACCCAGGTTCGAATTCCAGCTACAAAAACCCTCTACCCAAGATTTGGTACCCGGTCGTTGTTCACGGGGCTGCTAACTAATACAGAGTAGAGTATAAAACAAAAAAAGATAGAATCGGAGTATGGGATACCTTGACGGAAATGGTGGGGCTGGGATGGGTATGATCATCGGGAAGGGCATAGTAATCAGCCAAAACGACGACGTTGTTGTGAAGTTCTTCAGAAACACATTTAGTTCCAATGGGGGGAACAGTCAACCATATAGCTTGTCCCGTGTGCAATAAACAGAGTAGCATGAAGAATATCCATCTGCTCATGTCACCCATCATTCCCTTTTACTTGAAGAATTTTGACTGACAGAGCTTTGGGATCTTCAAAAATGGAAATCGGAGAAGGAGATCGATCTTCTCGTATTTTGCTTTGCAATTGATTAATTATTACACTGTATGAACCCATTGGGTTTAGTTATAGGATCCATGGGCCTCTTTGGTGAATTTTGACTAGTTTTTGCTAATTTTCCCTTAAAATTATACTCGGATATGTGACACATTTTCCTTATTAATTCGTCTCAAAGAAATGTCAGCTTATTATAATTTGAAATAATTTAATTTTAAAATTTTCATACTAGTCTTAATTAATTTAAACCACTATTTAAAATTGGTGTTTACTGCATAGCTTTTGGAAATAAATTTTAATAATAAAACATGAGTTATACGATCATTATGAAAAAATACTCATAATATAAGCTTAGTACAAAATTATTATTTTTATAATAAACTAGATAATACATTATTCAAAAATCATAACACAATATCTTAATAAAAACTACAAATACCACACAATTACCACTTGCCGCATATTCGTTAATTCTATATCTTCCCACAATTTACAAACAATTCCTTCAGAGCGAACATGCATTTCTTACATCGGGAGTGTATTTACTGAAGGAAAGAGGTAGATAGAATTAGTCGGACTATGATTAATCTCCCTCATCGAGCTACAGCGCGCAAGCTATACTATATGATACGCTAGCTCAGCCACAGCCCACATGCATGATATTAGTTGATATTTAGCAGTCATATGTCTTGAAAAATAATTATTTTTTCTCGATATGTTAAAAATGACAAGTAAAAGTGAAAATATATTTTTAAATTAGTGGATAAATAAAAGTGAATGGAGAAAGTATATGGACTACTTAATATTAATGATGGAAAGATATATCCAAATCATTTGGGTAATTAGTAATACCATTTTTTCTTCTAATGTTTGATAAATTAAACCATTTGGTCTTTAAACCTTTCAAAATGTACTTCTTAAGTGCCAAATCATATGAGAAAAAGGACATGTAAAAAATGAATTTTACATGTTTAATGCAAAACTAGATTACATAGACAACTTTCTAAACTTGGATTTGTCGATGTTTCTTATATTACCCTCTACGTACTATAACTAGTAATTAATTATTCTAAATTAATTACTATTCCCTCCGTCCAACAATAATTGTCCACTATTGACTTGACACACCTCTTAAGAAACAATAAATAATAGGGTTACTATTACTATTTTATCCTTTGACTTTATTAAATTTAATGCTTTGAGAAATGTGTTAAATGATAAATAGTATTTAATAACAAGGATAAAATGGATACAAAAAGTAAATTATCTCTTGATTTTCTAAATTGAACAAGTATTATTGAACAACTATTTTAGTATAATGGATAACTATTATTGGACGGAGAAAGTAATACTGATCATCATGATTTTGGAATAATGGAAGATGGAACTAATGACTTGCCAAACTTTTGGTAGAATTTGCCTAGACTACTGTTATCCATTGGGCTCTAGATCTGACCTTCTAATGCATTTAAACTGTTTGTCATAATTTTCCATAAATATGAGATCCTATTGTAACAATTTTTCATTAATAATAAATATGTACATTATTTGTTATTCTTTTAAGGCATGCAAAGTCAAACGTTAAAATTATAAATGAAGGAGGGAGAAACAATTGTTACAAGATACATATATAGTAGTAATACTTTAATTAATTAATATATTTAATCAGATAACAAGACTTTAGACCGTTCTCTAAATACTTATATGGCTTATATTTTATAATATGATAATATTAACAGATTTTGTAACAGTTTACCGAGAGGATCAACAATGTCTAGAAAAATTAAATTAATTGGCTATATGATCAAGTGGAAAAGAATTTAGTAGAATTATAGAACATATTGACTATAACCAAAAGACGAAATGATCTGATGAACCTTATACTTGTATGAGTTTGTATTCTGAACACAACTACTTAATCATTTGTCAATTGAACCCTTAAACTAAATTAAAATAAAACTTTTAAACCCTCTGACAATTGACCGAGCTTACGTGACATTTGTTTTACTGAGTCAATTATAGAGCGTGGTATCACACTTGTGAAAGCGAATGGAAACATGAATTTACTTGAAAAATAATAAAAAGAAGAAAGAAAAATACAAAAGTGCCCAACCCTCCCGTTTATTCCGCTACATCTCCTCCCTATTTCTTCCATTGAACCTCCGTCGTCAATGACTACGGTTTTTTTTTCCAGAAAAATTGCATAAACAAAACTTAACAACAAACTTTAGTGATTGCTCACAAGTGAGCCAAAGGTCCTATTCTCTAATTTCACTAATAGCTGCTGCAAAAGTAGAAGCTAACATTCAAGCTTTGGCACAAACTTGGTCACTTCATCTTTTTATTCCTGGAAGCGGACATGACGATTCACATGATGAACAAACTTTCAACATTCAAGCTTTGTTTGATTTGTTATAAGCGTTTTAGTCTTATTCTTCACATAGAAAAATTCAATTTCAACAGCCGAAACAAGCCTCACGAATAGAGCACCAACCTTCCTCTTGTCACTTATTAGCTTATTTGTTAGAGACAAAGATGTTCAACGAAGAACATTGCTAGCTGAGGAAGAAGAACCATAGCAAACCCTAAAAATGAAAACAATTCCTGTTGATTGTGGTTGAGGGTTGGGGGAAGTGCAGAAAATCAAAGAGAAATATCAATTTTTAATAGAAACTTATTTTTTTGGCCTTTTATTTAATTTTGATTAATATAATAAAAAATATTTATTAGGATAATTATGACATGGCATTATTATATGTGACATGGATATGACATGTCATTTATGTAAAGGAGAGTGAGCTACACACATAGGTGGAAGGGTTTAAAAGTCTCATTTTAATTGAGTTTAAGGGTTCAGTTGACAAATGATTAAGTAGAAGTGTTCAGAATACAAACCCATACAAGTAGGAGGGTTCATCAAACCATTCCACCTAACCAAAATAACTAAAATATTACAGAAGAATAAAGTTCAATAAAAAGATAGAAGTGAAATTTTACTAGATAAGTTCGAGGTGTTTTATTAAGATTTAGGCCACTAGCTAAGCTAGGAGTGCCCCTTGCCTTAAATGTTTAAGTAGCTCATCAAAGGAAGCGTGAAAGTAAGCAAGCGCCAAGCAACTGCTTGGTGGGACCATCCGTTATCGGTCCCAAACTTAACCTAATACTGCCACCCCTAAGATTGGTGTGGACTGTGGAGTTATAAATACTCCACCATCCAGAGGTAGACCCACCCTTGGTCAAGGGGTGTCAAGCGATATCCCTTTGCTGGAAAGTTACGGGGTCAAATTATATATATATTGACACTCCTTGACACAAGTGAAAAGATTAGTCCATTGGTTAATGGGTTGCAAAAGTTTCTTAAAGTTGTGTGTTCAAGCCTCGCAAATATCTCAGGTTTGAGCTCTGGTACGGAGCCACTACCCATTTTAATTACCCACTTTTCTTCGCGAATCCGGATTAATCGACATCCAAAGTCCGGATACCGCATGAGAAACCAAAAATACTAGTACTGCCTATCTCAAGATAAGACTTTGGTAATTCACTATAAATTATTGGACGGAATTTGGTGATTTTGTTTATGTCCAAATGCAATACTCAATTTTCTAGTATAATTTCCCTGCAATACCTAGTTTTCCTGTACTTGCAACATGATAATATCTAATGTTAATTGGTATGGAGAAAATCTTGTTGGGAGTGTCATCCAAATTTATAGTGCGCGATTCAAATTTAATCGGTACTCCATTCCGGACTTTGAATAAAATAAAGGAGTAGTACTAGTAAATTTTTTTCTTCTACTATTAGAGATTTTTTTTTAAAAAAAAATGTGTTTTAAATCTTTCAAATGTGGTTCTTAATTGCCATTATACATGAGATTTTTTTTTTTTATGACATGTAAAAGTTGACTTTTACATATTTAAGGCGAACTAGACTACATAGAAAACTTTCTAAACTTAAGGATTTGTCAATAACATTATCCTCACAATATGTAGTTCCCCTTTTTACTTTTATTTGTTATATTTAAATTTTGTATATTTATTAAAATAAATAAATCAATATGACTATTTTATCATATTATTCCGATTAATAGATATTTAGTATTAAATTTTTAAAAAATTATTTAAGAAATAAATAATTAATATTAAACGTACAATATGAAAAATAATAAACATCTTTTCTTATATATATGGAAAATGACGAAGTACAGTAAAACATTATTTTTTAAATAATGAACATGTTACAGAGAAATTTGGCAAATAGTAACTTGCCAAATTTTTGGTAGAATCTGCCTAAACTAATTATTTTGCATTAATATAATAAAATTGCACTTTATTCGTTATTCTGAAAAGGCGTGCAAATGAATCAGTTTTTCTATTTTTTATTTTATTTTTATGGTGGAGAAAATTCACTGTTGTCCTCGCTCTTATGCAATAGCTCGCAAATTACACAAGAGGGGTAATCCGCACTATGCAACCCCAGTATGACGAGCTCGACCTAGAAGACAAGATCCTTACTTTCACTGACAAGGGGTTTCGAACATGAATCAGGGTTCAGGAGTAACAATCTCTCTCATTGACTTTGAGATTTCTTCAAAGAAATTAAGGATTAATTATAGTGTCACTTAATTTGTTGTTTGGTTGAAAAGTCTGAGATAATTTATCTCGGGATTAATAATTAGTACGGAATAAGTTATATCTCCCCTTGGGTGGTATATAATCTAGGATAAAATAAGTAAATAACAAAAATATCTCTTTAAACCTTTTTTATACGTCACTTTTTACATTCATGAAGGACATTTTTGTAAACAAATAAATTGTTCTTAAAATTTATTATTTTGAATACAACAAACCAAACACTTAATAAAAAATAATCTTATCATAACTTATTCAATCATAAATAATCTCATCATAAATTATTCAAACCAAATAACTCCAAAAGTGTTAAATTGTTATTATACTTATAAGTAAGACATAAATATTTAGTACTAATGCTTTAATTAGTATACTCAATCAGATAACAAGATTTTGACTCTTCCCTAAATATATAGTTATATTTACTTATACCATAATATTAACAATTTTTGTAACAGTTACCTCAACTTAAAAAAATCTTTACAAGATTAAGAAAATGATAAGATCTTACCTACGAGGATCAACAATGTCTCAATTAAGAAAATTTAAATTGATTGGCTATATATGATCAATTGGAAGGAGTTTAGTACAGAAGATTGATTATAACTAAAAAAAATGGAGTAATTAATTTTGCATCTCAAGAAGACTGAAGAATAAGGTGAAATTTTTATTAAGATTAGATTTAGGCCATTAGGCACTAGTTAGCTCCAATACTGAACTGCACCTAACTAAAACTAGTACTGTCATCCCTAAGATTAGAACTAGTACTGTCATCCCTAAGATTAGAACTAGTAATGTCATCCCTAAGATTGTGGTGGAGTGATAAGTATTACTCTATTTTTAATCAAAGATCTCGGGTTTGAGCCTTGTGTATGGCGCGAAACCGGATTAGTCGGCCCAGTACCAGACACCAAAGAGAAACAGGGAAAAAAACTAGTACTGCCTATCTTAAGATAAGACTTCGGTAATTCACTATAAATAGTTGGACAGGACTACAATTGATACTGCACAGATAGCCTACATTACTTTCTTGTTGAATATTTGGTATGTAACTTAAAATCCAGGTGATTTTGTATATGTGCAAATGTAATACTCAGTTTTCCAGTATAATTTCCCTGCAATACATACTTTTCCAGTACTTGCAACATGATAATATCTAATGTATAAATCTTTACATTATTAAGTTCCTTCATCTCTAGCTCACATTCTCCATCAATGGAATCGTGCTGCATTGAGCAGTTTCTCGAGGGAAAGACCATTTTCATCACTGGTGCAACGGGCTACCTTGCAAAGAGTAATTTCTCTATCTCTCCCTCCCCCTTACGGTTGAACTAATAGTGCTTTGTGAATAATATTAGTATTGCTACTGCTCCTATTGAAAATTCCTGCAGTTCTCACTGAGAAGATACTCAGAGTCCAACCAAATGTGAAGAAGATGTACTTGATAATAAGAGCTCCAGATTCAAATTCAGCTAAACAACGCTTTAACAACGAGGTATATATATACTACCAAACTACTACTCCTATATGATTGTATGCAGCAGCAGTAGAAATAATAGCAGCTAGCACATTAGACTACATGACCGTAGTCATGCATTACCACATGAGAATTCAAGATTATCAGAGTTCACTGCTCAATATGATGTTATAAGTGCAGGTTATAAAAACTGATCTGTTCGGAGTTCTGAGGGAGAAGTTGGGCGCCAACCTACATGGCTTTATAGAAGACAAAGTTTTCCCAGTTGCAGGGGATATAGATTGTGATAGTTTGGGGATAAATTCGGAGCTGAAAGATGAGATGTGCAGAGAAATAGACATAATTGTAAACTCAGCTGCAACAACTAGATTTAATGAAAGGTACATAAAGAATGAAATTCTTTTTCATAAATTAGAATGAAAAACTTTATTCCATATTTTCGCAGATATGATACTGCAATAAGGACCAATGTATTGGGTGCCATGCATGTTCTCAATTTTTCCAAGCAGTGTTCAAAACTTATGATGCTTCTCCATGTAAGCACAGGTCAGCTCCATCATTTATATAAATGTGTGTTCTCAACCAAATTTCATTATCATGTGACTTCTTTGGGCGTATTAACTTTAGCATAAGGACTGATTCTTTTCAGCCTATGTTTGTGGGGAAAAGGAAGGATTGATACTAGAGAAGCCATTGAACTACGGTGAGACGCTTAATGGAAGCTCTCACTTAGACATAGACATGGAGCAGAAGTTGGTAGAGGAGGCACTAAAGGAACTTCAAGATAGAAATGCCACTGAAAAAGAAGTTAGGCTAGCTATGAGAGTTCTAGGTATTGAGAGGTAAAGCTATTCATAAGATCGATCTATCTCATCAATCAATATGTCCTATTCATTCAAGACAAGTATATATATATAAATGATTCTTCAGGGCAAGGCAACATGGATGGCCAAACACATACTCATTCACAAAATCAATGGGAGAGATGCTTTTGGGACACCTCAAGGAGGATCTCCAACTCATAATTCTACGGCCAACGATTATATTGAGCACCTACAAGGAGCCATTCCCTGGATGGATTGAAGGAATGAAGTAATAATTATATACCATTTAAGCACACAAGGAAATTAAAGAAGAGTAATTCTTACTAGTAAACCAATATAATCTGTTTCTTTCTTTCCACAGAACCGCGGACACGTTCATTGTTGGCTATGGTAAAGGAAAACAGAAACTTGCAATGGGTGGCAGAGAAACCATAACAGATGTGGTATGTGAGTCAGTCATATGTATATATAGTGTACCTTATGTCAGCTGGTATAAATCATTTCATCTAGTTACATTTTGAGTTCCTAAGTATTTACTAATTCCTTAATGCCATCTTGCAATTTTGCCTAGATTCCAGCTGATATGGTCGTAAACTCAGTCATTGCGGCTATGGTAGCCCATCGAAATGCATCTTCCCGTGTAGCTGTTTACCATATTAGCTCGTCTAGGAGGAATCAAATCAAACTTGGTGATTTTATACGAATTGGCGTTGATTACTTCAAGAAGAATCCATGGATTGACGAAAGAGGAAAGGCAGTCAAAGTGAAGAAATTTCACTTACTGGATAGCATGGATAGCCTTCACAAATATATAGCAATCCACTACATGCCATCATTAAAGGTTAGGTTTGCATAGTAAAAGAGGGAATAGGAAGGAGCGATGAATAGAAAAAGAATACAAAAGGTGTTTATGAAGGATCATTTTAACATGTTTCAGATATTAAAGTGGGGAAACTTGATACTTTGCCGACATTTGCAAGTCCAGCACACAAACTTACAAAGAAGGATCAATAAAGCCATTGAACTAGCTGAACTCTACAAACCTTACATGTTCTTCAAAGGAATGTAAGTTTATTATTTGATGTTATGTTTGATATATATACTAGTGGAAACTAATTAATCATTCATGCTTAACACCCATTCATGCTTGATTTATCCCAGTTTCGATGATACGAATGGTGAAATGTTGCGAATGGCAACAAGAGAAAGTAATGCAGATGATACATTCAATTTTGATCCGACAACCATTCAGTGGGATAAATACTTGAAGGAAACTCACATACCCGGATTAGTAAAGTACATTTTCTAAGAAAGTAGAATAATGTGTAGTTATCTACTTCCAAATAAAAACTGCTTAAATTCCATTAATCCGTTCAATAAACTATTTGCAATGTAATAATATACTTCTATATATGTTACTAGCTACTTACTTTATCAGAAGAATATATAGCTATTAGACAACAACAATGTACGTACCAGTGAAAGGGTAGCGGCTCAGCTAATTAGAAAACAAGAAAGAAAATTTGTTGCAATGCATTTATAATCCAACACAATTTATTAGTCCAAATTATTAATTAGGGAGAGATGTGTACATAAGGAAGGATGAACCTTTTCAGAGTGAGAAGAAATGACTTTAAATTGAAGCAGCAGCAGAGTTAACAGCAGAGCCACTTTCTCCATAGTTTTCCCCATATTTCGGCAACACCCACAATGCTATCATACTCAGATTTAGCCATCTCTTTCATGGACTATAATTTTGTAACAGATAACAACCCATCATTCCCTTTTACTTCACAATTTACTTTGGGATCTTCAAATATGGAATCTTGCAAATGCGGTCAAGGAGAAGGGCTTCTTATGACCCTCAATTTCGTCATTTATACCCACCCCTCGTTTGTTTATGAAAGTTATTCATATATACGTTATATAAATGACTCACATGTAATTCTACAGTTACAAAAAGAGCACACATATATTCATGAAAGTGAAAAAAATAGTTTTAAAAGAATATGTGTGAGTATGATCAAATATACCCAAAAGGGTATATGTGAGACATTTGTATAACAATAATCGTTTGATTTGAATTTAAGTTATGCTGAGATTAGTTATACTGAGACTAGTTATCATGGCCTTATGTCTTATTGATTGTTTGGTTTGTTATACTAAAAATAATAACCATTGGATACTTCCTAAAAATAAATGGTTTGATTACAAAAATACCCTCTCTTTTTTAGCTTTTTTGTATATATATATATATATATATATATATATATATATATATTTAGTTATTCATTCTTAAAAACAAATCTCCACCTTATTTAACTTAATTATTTTTATGTATGAATATTCTTTGTGTTCAATTATGTGTCAATTACGGAGGTATCAATACTCCACGCTAAAGAAAATGGAACTCAAGATTTATTTGTATGACAATACCATATGTCCAAGTCCAACAAATGATTATAAACTTCAACACAATTTGTTTGGGGCCGGGGTTGGAAGGGAAGAGGGGACTTGATCAAGCAAACTTGTGTCTTGTGTAAACAAAAGTTGAAACACCCATTTCCCATCTTAATAGTAGTGTATTTATTGGGTGATTGACCTTTTCTTCACAACGAGCTACCTAGCAGAAGCACGAATAGGCAAACTTATTCGTTTTTTGAGACGTAATGAGATATGTAGTCAGTTGAAGAAGCAGAGGAACCAAAAATATCAGCATTTGAAGGGCAGTTTTGTCATTTAATAAGTTTATCCCATGACAAATAATGATGAGATTATTATAGAGGAATAACTTATCCCGGTACTATTTATTATATTAATCCCGGGATAAGCGAGAGGATACAAAGGATGAGGCTGTGAGTGGTGGTGGAAATTAAACGATGGGAATGAGTGATGGAAAACGGAGAGATATATACTAGCTAGAGTGAAAGACAAGTAGCTAGATTAACATCGACATTAATTATGGGAAATAACAAACTTGCACCAAAAGTTTGTCACTGCTTAAACTCAAATTGATTGATTGATTAATATTGGTGTCAAGATTTTTCATTATTTTTTTATGAGATGATGAATATTATATATATATAGGAGAACCCGTAGGTAGGTGTTCATTTTAAACAAGATTAATTAATATAATAAGAGGCTTACCATTTTATGTTTTGCCCATAGAGAATAATTGGCGCCAAACCTTGTTACTGTTGCTCATTTAAATTAAAATTGTCTAATTACATTCTACCATTACTAATTATACTTTAAAGTTAATTATCCTTAATTTAAAGTAGGTGTTTACTGATTTAAGTCCAACTCCTATTAATTAATTGCATGCATTGGATATTGGTACGGTGGGAAATTAGGAGAAGGGACTTTATGTTATACTTCTTTTATAGTTCATATTCAATGAATCGCTGGATATAATAACACACGATTAATCTAGCTATTTTATTTGAGGAATCGATAGATTAACATAATTCCTACATACAATGAACCTAGTTTATAGCCTACACGTCTCCCAAAAATTATGAAAACCAACCTATATATATTTCCTACCACATGTGCCGCCAATTACATAACCGTGAAGAAGTTAGTTAGCCTTTCATTGTAAATTTTCAAATATTATGATTTGGGTACAAAGTTTCAATGTGTTTGATCATAGCTTTTCATAATATATTTTAATAATAAAACATGATTTATACGATGATAAATTCTAAAAATTATCAAAAAATACTCATAATATAATTTTATTATTGTTATAATAAACTAGATAATATATTATTCAAAAATCATAATACGATATCTCAATAAAAACTACCAATAACATACAATTACCGGTTACCATATATTCATTCTTTAATTCTATCTTCCCACAATTTACAAACAATTCCTTCAGAGTGAGCATGCATTTTTTAGATCAGGAGTATTGTATTTATTGAAGGAAAGGGGTAGTTATAGGGATGGCAATGGGGCGGGGTGAGTTTAAGGCTATGCAAGGCGGGAGGGATGCTGGGCGGATTGAAATGGATTTTTTTTAAAACTAATGCAGAACAAAGCGTTTTGTGGCCTGCAGATATATGTGATTTTATGTGGGTTCAAACGTAATTTTAACTTTTTACATGTTATAAGAGTGATAGAACATTATTTATAAAGATAATTTCTTTAAAGCTACTAACATATGCAAAATAATAAATGAAAATTGTTCAATAAAAAAAAATCAATTACTTACATGTTTTTCAATGAACCTCTAAAAAATAATTTTTTCAAGTCATTATCTATTAGATTAAAATAACTTTATTTTATAAATTTTATTTTTAATATTAAACTTAACTTGAAAAAAATAAAATATTAAAAAAATTGTGCATGCGAATTCATGTGGGACGGGTCTATGCAGGGCGGGCACCGCCCAATTGCCATCCCTAGGTAGATAGAATTAGTTGGACTGTGATTATCTCCCTCGTCGAGCTACAGTGCATGAATAGAAATAGTTTTGGATTTTGCAAACTTCTTTAAAAAATGATGATTCAAATAAATATTTTTATCATAATATTCATATTAATTGATATTTAATAGTATTAGGTCTTGAAAAATAAGTTATTAATGATAATGATTAAACATGAAAAAAATAATTATTTTTTCTCAATATGTTACAAATGACAAGTAAAAGTGAAAATCTATTTTTAAATTAGTGGACAAATAAAAATGAACGGAGAAAGTATATACTAATAAATCTATATTGTGAGAAAGAGCATGGAAAAAAGTGAGTCTAAATATTAATGATGGAAAGATATATCCAAATCATTTGGGTAATTACTAATTAGTGTAGTACTTTTTTCTAATATTAAATAAATTAAACAATTTGTGTTTTAAATCTTTCAAAATGTACTTCTTTAAGTGCCAAATTATATGAGAAAAAGGACATGTAAAAACTGAATTTACATGTTTAAGGCAAACTAGATTACATAGACAACTTTCAAAACTTGGATTTGTCAATGATTCTTATATTACCCTCTATGTACTATAATTAGTAATTGATTAATTACTACTAATCAGCATGATATTGGAATAATGGGAGACGGAATTAATGACTTGCCAAAGTTTTGGTAGAATCTGCCTAAACTACTGTTATCCATTGGGCTCTAGATCTGACTTTCTAATGCATTTAAACTGTTTTTCATATGAGATCCAATTGTAATTATTTTGCATTAATAATACATATGTATATTATTTATTATTCTTCAATGCATGCAAAGTCGATTGTTAACAAATTATAAATGAACGAGGGAGAAACAATTGTTACAAGATATATATATTTATATATATATAGTAATACTTTAATTAATATATGCAATCAGAAAACAAGACTTTAGACTCTTCTCCAAAATACTTATATTGCTTATATGATAATATTAATAGATTTCGTAGCAGCTTACCTGAGAGGATCAACAATGTCTCAAGAAAAATTAAATTAGTTGACTATATGATCTATTGGAAAAGAATTTAGTAGAATTATAGAAGAGATTGACTATAACCAAAATAACTAAAAAATTACACTGAAGAATAAAATTCAATAAAGATAAAAAGTAAAATTTTACTAAATAAGTTTAAGGTGTTTTATTAAGACTTAGATTTAGGCCACTAGCTATGCTAGGAGTGCCCCTGGCCTTAAATGCTCATCGAAGGAAGCGTGAAAGTAAGCAAGCACCTCCATTATTGAGTTGCTCGGTGGAGACCATCCGTTATTGGTCCCAAACTTAAACTAGTACTGCCACCCCTAAGGTTGGTGGAGTTATAAATACTCCTCCATCTTTAATTAAAAGTCTCAGGATTTGAGCTCTAGTATGGAGTCACCTTTAATAGTGACCATTTTACCCCACTTTTCATCGCAAATCCAGATTAATCGACCCCCACAGCCCGTACTGGACACCCGATGAGAAATCAAAAAAACTAGTACTGCCTATCTCAAGATATGACTGGTAATTCACTATAAATTATTGGGCAGGACAACAATTACCAACTGCACAGATAGCCTACATTTGTTTATGTGCAAATGCAATACTCAATTTTCCAGTTGCTTATATGAAAAATGACAAGTAAAGTAAAAAAAATTATTTTTAAAATAATGAACAAGTAACAGAGAAATACTAAATGACTTGCCAAACTTTTGGTAGAATCTGCCTAAACTAATTGTTTTGCATTAACAATAAAAATGCACTTTATTCATTATTCTGTAAAGGAGTGCAAAGTCTTGTTGACAAATAAAAATGAATCAGTTTTTAATTTTTTAATGACAAGGAAAATTTACTGCTGCTAGTCTGCTATTCTTTGGGTGCATACAAGATAAAATTCTCGTTTCTATGCAATAGCTCGCAAATCACACAAGAGAGGTAACCCACACTAGGCAAGCCCGGTGTGACGAGCTCGACCCAGAAGACAAACTCCTTGCTTTCGCTGACAAGGGGTTTCGAACATGGAATCAGGAATCAGGATTCAGGAGTTACAATCTCTGTCATTGGCTTCTAGACTTGTTTAAAGGAATTAGAAGTGTTAAATTGTTACTACTTATAAGTAAGACATACATATATAGTACTAATACTTTAATTAATATACTCAATCAGATAACAAGACTTGACTATTCTCTGAACATATACTTATATTGCTTATAAGATAATATTAACAGATTTTGTAACAGTAACCTCAACTTAAAGAATCTTTTCAAGATTAAGAAAATGATAAGATCTTACCTGAGAGGATCAACAATGTCTCAATTAAGAAAATTTAATTTGATTGAGTATATATGATCAATCGGAAGGAATTTAGTACAAAGGAGATTGATTATAACTAAAACAAAATGGAGTAATAAATTTTGCTTCTCAAGAAGACTGAAGAATAAGGTGAAATTTTACTAGATATTTTTTTTTTTGATTTGCACCGGGTGTCCGAGTCTCTTTGAGCCCCGACTAATCCCGGGGGTGCACAGGCCCTCGGCAAGGAGTTTCCCGCAAGTGCACCACGGTTAATTCAGGTTTTACCCAGTCCGATGGCCCTCAGAAATTGTTTGCACCTAGTGGGTTTCGAACTTGAGACCTTGAAAGGGAGCAAACCCCAAGGCTCAAGTCAATTGCCAGCAGGCCAACCCCTGAGGGTTTTTTTACTAGATATATTTCATATGTTTTATTAAGATTTAGATTTAGGCCATTAGGCACTAGCTAGCTCCACTATTGAACCGCACCTAACTAAAACTAGAACTCTCATCCCTAATATTGTGGTGGAGTGATAAGTGTTACTCCATTTTTAATCAAAGATCTCGGGTTTGAGCCTTGTGTATGACGAAAATCCGGATTAGTCGGCCCCAAATTGAGTACCGGACACCAATGAGAAATCGGGAAAAAAACTAGTACTGCCTATCTCAAGATAAGACTTTGGTAATTCACTATAAATAGTTGGACAGGACTACAATTGCTACTGCACAGATAACCTACATTACTTTCTTGTTGAATATTTGGTATGTAACTTAAAATCCAGGTGATTTTGTATATGTGCAAATGTAATACTCAGTTTTCCAGTATAATTTCCCTGCAACACATACTTTTCCAGTACTTGCAGCACGATAATATCTAATGTATATATATTTACATTATTAATTTCCTTCATCTCTAGCTCACATTCTCCATCAATGGAATCGTGCTGCATTGAGCAGTTTCTCGAGGGAAAGACCATTTTCATCACTGGTGCAACGGGCTACCTTGCAAAGAGTAATTTCTCTATCTCTCCCTCCCCCTTACGGTTGAACTAATAGTGCTTTGTGAATAATATTAGTATTGCTACTGCTCCAATTGTAAATTCGTGCAGTTCTCACTGAGAAGATACTCAGAGTCCAACCAAATGTGAAGAAGCTCTACTTGCTAATAAGAGCTCCAGATTCAAATTCAGTTAGACAACGCTTTAACAACGAGGTATATATATACTACCAGACTACTACTCCTATATGATTGTATGCAGCAGCAGTAGAAATAATAGCAGCTAGCACATTAGACTACACGTCCGTAGTCATGCATTACCACATGAGAATTCAAGATTATCACAGTTCACTGCTCAATATGATGTTTTAAGTGCAGGTTATAAAAACTGATCCGTTCGGAGTTCTGAGGGAGAAGTTGGGTGCCAACCTACATAGCTTTATAGAAGACAAAGTTTTCCCAGTTGCAGGGGATATAGCTTGTAATAGTATGGGGATAAATTCTGAGCTGAAAGATGAGATGTGCAGAGAAATAGACATAATTGTAAACTCAGCTGCAACAACTAGATTTGATGAAAGGTACATAAAGAATGAAATTCTTTTTCTTAAATTGGAACGAAAAAGTTTATTCCATATTTTTTCAGATGTGATACTGCAACAAGGACCAATGTATTGGGTGCCATGAATGTTCTCAAATTTTCCAAGCAATGTTCAAAACTTATGATGCTTCTCCATGTAAGCACAGGTCAGCTCCATCATATATATATGTGTGTGTTTAACCAAATTTCATTATCATGCAACTTCTTTGGGCGTATTAACTTTAGCATAAGGACTGGTTCTTTTCAGCCTATGTTTGTGGGGAAAAGGAAGAATTGATACTAGAGAAGCCATTGAACTACGGTGAGATGCTTAATGGAAGCTCTCACTTAGACATAGACGTGGAGCAAAAGTTGGTAGAGAAGGCACTAAAGGACCTTCAAGATAGAAATGCCACTGAAAAAGAAGTTACACTAGCTATGAGAGTTCTAGGTATTGAGAGGTAAAACGATTCATAAAATCAATCTATCTCATCAACCAATATGTCCTATTCATTCAAGACAAGTATATATATATATATATATATATATGATTCTTCAGGGCAAGGCTACATGGATGGCCAAACACATACTCATTCACAAAATCAATGGGAGAGATGCTTTTGGGACACCTCAAGGAGGATCTCCAACTCATAATTCTACGGCCAACAATTATATTGAGCACCTACAAGGAGCCATTCCCTGGATGGATTGAAGGAATGAGGTAATAATTATAAACCATTTGAGCACACAAGGAAATTAAAGAAGAGTAATTCTTATTAGTAAACCAATATAATATGTTTCTTCCTTCCCACAGAACCATGGACACGTTCATTGTTGGCTATGGTAAGGGAAAACAGAAACTTGCAATGGGTGGCAGAGAAACCATAACAGATGTGGTATGTGAGTCAGTCATATGTATATATAGTGTACCTTATGCCAGCTGGTATAAATCAGTTCATCTACTTACATTTTGAGTTCCTAAGTATTTACTAATTCCTTAATGCCATCTTGCAATTTTGCCTAGATGATATGGTCGTAAACTCAGTCATTGCGGCTATGGTAGCCCATCGAAATCCATCTTCCCGTATAGATGTTTACCATATTAGCTCGTCTAGGAGGAATCAAATTAAAATTGATGATTTTATACGAATTGGCGTTGATTACTTCAAGAAGAATCCACGGATTGACAAAAGAGGAAAGCCAGTCAAAGTGAAGAAATTTCACTTACTGGTTAGCATGGATAGCCTTCACATATACATAGCAATCCACTACATGCCATCATTAAAGGTTAGTTTTGCATAGTAAAAGAGAGAAAGATCCCGATAGGCAGGAGCGATGAATAGAAAAAGAATACAAAGGTGTTTATGAATGTTGACATACACTTCAGCATTGATGGCCTACCACTAGCTAAGTTTATCATTTTAACATGTTTCAGATATTAAAGTGGGCAAACTTCATACTTTGCCAACATTTGCAAATCCATCACACAAACTTACAAAGAAGGATCAATCATACCATTCGACTAGCTGAACTCTACAAGCCTTACGCGTTCTTCAAAGGAATGTGAGTTTATAATTTGATGCCCCTTCCTTCCTTCCTCTTAATTCTATGTTAATATTGATTTAGACACCTGGATGTAACGTTTGATATACTATACTAGTGGAAACTAATTAATCAAACTTAAAAGTTTTTCCAAATTGATACTCTTAACACCCATTCATGCTTGATTTATCCCAGTTTCGATGATACGAATGGTGAAATGTTGCGAATGGCAACAAGAGAAAGTAATGCAGATGATACATTCAATTTTGATCCGACAACCATTCAGTGGGATAAATACTTGAAGGAAACTCACATACCCGGATTAGTAAAGTACATTTTCTAAGAAAGCAGAATTATTTGAATAAAGGAAGTTCCCTACCTCCAAATAAAAACTTGTGTTGCTGCTTAAATTCCATTATGTTGTTTTTTAATCAGTTCAATAAACTATTCGGATTAATATGTAATATTATTGAAGGAATAATTTTATGTTACTTTCTTTATCAGAAGAATATATAGCTAATTAGAATACAACAACAACAACATACCCGGTGAAAGTCTGGGAGAGAGTAGAATGTAGCTAGAGAGGCTATTTTCGAAATACCCTCAGCTCAGCTCATTAGAAAACAACTTTAAATACTTATTATGCATTTATAATCCAACACAATTCAGCAAGTGTAGTCCAAATTGATAATTAGGGAGAGATCTGTTAAGAAGGATGAACCTTTTTAGAGTGAGAAGAAATTGCTTTAAAAGCAGATTTCATTGAAGCACCAGCAGAGTTAACAGCAGTTTCAATATACTTTTTTGCAGCAATTGTAGCCACTTTCTCCATAGTTTTCCCCATATTTCTAGCTCTTTCGGCAACATTCACAAGGCTATCATACTCAGATTTAGCCATCTCATTCATTTCCTCTTCGAATCGGCGAAATTCATCCATGGCTTCTTCCATAGCAGTGTTAAGATGATCCTCTGCTTCTTTCATGAAATTCTCAGCTTCTTCAACTTCTTTTTCTTGATCCAATTCCATGGCTGCCCAAGCCTTGTAAGCCTCCACTTCAAAGAGCTTCATCAGATCATCTTCTATAGTGTACGGATCGAAGTTCTTGTCACAAAGAGCTTGCTCCGAAAGAATGGCGAATTGAGCAAAAAGAGATTCCATTTTTTTTTCTTTCTAGAATTTGGGGATGGAGAAAAAATGATTGAAACAGGAACACCTATTTGGTAAAGGACTGTCAGATGAGGGTCCTTCAAAGCACACCAACGGTTAAGTTGAATTTCATACGTGTAGTAACTTTTTCCTTTTACACGAATTCAAATTAATCCCAAATAAAATTAGCACGCAACAAAGACAATAGAGTAAGTAGCGTTTGGACATGCAATTTCATATATGCTTGGACATGCGATTTCATGTTGTTGATTTTATATTATGACATGAAATTTCAAATTCTTCAAAAAACATGATTTGGAAATTATCATGATTTGAGATTTTTAACATGCAAAAATTGACTCACGAGTTTATATTTTATAAAAATAACCTCACATTTATATCTACTAAGTACTAACCATTTATTTTATATGTAAATAAAGTTTATAATTTATATCATTACTTTTAAAACCATTTATATCTCATATAACGATTCTTCTCACTAACATAAAATTTATTATTACTTCAAATCAATTCTTACTTTACCATTTGTATTCAATAAAATTCATTATTTTATATCAAATTTATTTACCAATCAAATTAACCAATAAATGGCTTAAAATAACAATGTTGGTTTGTCTTTTCGATCATATGATCAAAAAATGTAAGTTCAAAGTGTAGGTGTAATATACCACAAATACAAAATATTACAGTTGAAAATAAATTGACAAAAATGAATAATCAAATCTTTAGGCTGAGGTGCGAATATCTCGCTCTCTTTAAGGAGATTCAAGCCCACTACAACATAATCTACACCGATCCAACGGTAATACTCTTGACTTGTCCCCTCCAAGATACAACAGCCCAATAACATCATACAACTCAAACAACTTCGGATTAGTTAAAGAGTCCAAAGCTCTACAAAAAAAAATACCTTCCTTCAACATGTAATTACTCTTTTGTTTGTATAGTGAATAAAGTTGAAGACTTAGAATATTTTATTTGTGTCAACTCTCTCTTTCCCTACAGTTACCCTCACTACACACTACAATATTTTTCCACACTCCTCATCTTTTTTTTACCTTCACTTCACAAAGGAAGAAATACCACTATTTATAGGTGAGCAATTCTTCCTTGCAATGAATAGGAAGATAATGAGTAGTAAATTGGGTAAATGAATAGCCCAAAGGTTACATAAGTTACAAGATATAATGAGGTAGAATAACAAGTGAAATTAGTGGTAGATCATGGCAATAGTGGTTACAAGAATTACACCAAGATCATGACAACATTCTTGTCAACTTATACCCACTAATATATGCACTTAATATTTAAATTTTAATATTAAAATGCATAAACACCAACACAAAGTGAAAAGTTTGTCCGTACTATGTGGAGATGATTATATTAAGACTAGTACGTCATAACTCATGTTCAATATTTTTTTTATTAAATTAAAGTTTAATCAATAAATATATATTTTTTTTTATAATAGTTTGTGATAGTGTATTTTGAGATTTTATAAATTTTTGCTTATTTGGTAAGATTGTATAAAGAGTTGAGACAATTTTAATAGTTTTACCACTTATGAGATTTTTATGTTCATAAGAAAATATATAACACAAAAAATTTAAATTACGTATCCAAATAGAACTTCAATTTATCTCATAATTTCATATCGCATGATTAAACGATTTTATATTTCTAAATCATAATTTCATATCGCATAATCAAACGAATGCTAAATGTATATGTTAATAATGAGGGAGGTAGTGAAGTGGGCCAGAAATGTTGCGTTTTTGTCAAGGCCATCAATCCTCATCCCCACGGACAATTTTGTGGGTGGGTTGATTTATAATTATGCTTATTCGAGGTGGCCAATTACATCGAAAAATTATTGCTGAAATCGAATAAATACTAGTGGCCCTAATCTCTTGTCAACATTAGGTCATGCTACACTACTATAATCACACCCAAAGTCATGAATTCAAGTCTCATCGAAATTCATCCACAAAATAATTTCAAAGTAATCTCAAGAAAATGAATTAGACCACAATCGAGAGAATGTGTTTGAGATAAATGAAAAAAAAATGTGTGAACTAAAGATGAAGGAAATTAACAGGATTAAATTCATAATGTAAATATTTGTACATTAGATATTCTCAGGTTGCAAGTACTGATCTGCGCAGTAGCAATTGTTGTCTTGTTAAAGTATTTATTGTGTACTCTTTTGATTTTCTATTCGATGCTTAATATCCATTTTGAAGTTCGAATTTCTATCCTGCGATAAAATACTTCATATCAAAAGCGATTTTCTACTCTATCACTCGAATTCAAAATCTTTGATTAAACATAAAGAAGTACTTATGTTTTAAGGGAAAAAGGACAAATATATCCTCGAGCTATCGTAAATAGTATACAGATACCCTCTGTCATACTTTTTGGATGTTGGTGCCCCTGCCGTCCAAAAACTAGAGCATATTTGCCCTTCACTCTAACAGAAGACCAAATAGGGACACGTAACACAATCCTACCAAGGGACCCAATTTGATCAATTATTAAATCCAAACATCCATATCCATCCATCGGCCTGATTAACCCACTACCCACTCGTATAACCCATTACTGATGACCAAATAGTCCACTATTGGCTAGTTAGCCACCCAACTATATATCATGAGTCAATTTGAGTTTAAGCATGGACAAACTTTTGGTGCCACTTTGTTATTTCCCATATTATCGATCTTACTCTACTCGTCTTTCATTTTATTATCTCTCCATTTCCCATCACTCCTTCCCATCATTTCCGCCACCGTACACCTTCCCTCGGTTCACCACTATCCATAGCCTCATCTAATGTATCCTCTTGATTATCATGGTCGTTGGATGCGGCGTCTCAGTCATGGCTCCCCATGTCCATGACTGGAACAAAATCATTTGTTATAATAGGTTAAATTACAAAAATATCCTTTTTCGAGAGCCAATTTTTTTTTTGAAGCTACGTGTTTTATTGAAAATCTTGAATTTTTAGACACCATTTTGATCCTACTAAGTAGGTCGAGATCTCGACGACTCTTGTTCCTCCACGTGTGCCACCAGTGGTTTGAGCAGATTCTACCAAAAGTTTGGCAAGTCATTAATTCAATCTCCCACCGGCCACCATATAAGGAATTTTTATCCTAATTAATACTCCCTCCGTCCACAATTGTTTGGCAGGTATACTAAAAATAGATGTCCAAGATTAATTGTCAATTTAAACAATCAAGAAATAATTAGTCACTTTTTTCCAATTCTGTCCTTAATGATAGTGTAGTTCAATTGAAAAGTTATGTGGACTTTTGCTATTCTTGGTATAGTAGGGTTATATTAGTCAAATTACACCTTGTATTAAATTTTCCTTGAGGGGTGTGCATGACCTTACCCTGACAAACAATTGTGGACGGAGGGAGTATTACGTATTTTATTTTCTAAATTATAAATTTTATGCTACAAAAAAAACTTATCTGTAAATATCCTCTAGGAAACTTGATGATACTAACATATTACAGTGCCGATTGCCAAATCGAACGAAAAAATCTCATAAAAATAAATTTCATAAGTGTAATATTTTATGTCAATTGTTTTTCCCCAGCCCACAACACCACGCACCCTTACCCCATCCCCACTTCACATGTATATATTTCCATAATGTTTGTCTAAATTATATGTAAATTAATATTTTTGTGATAATATTTTCTATTTATTTATTAATTACACCAACAAAAAAAATAAGCATATCACTTATTTTTCAAAAATATATTTTCGTTTCATACCAAACACACCCATATGATGCCCAAAATATATCATTAATTAGTAGTTGAACATGCATGTCAAACACACAAGGATAACATATAACAATTTGACACACACATTAAATTCTATATTTAAAGCCTTAAATTTTTTATCTATTTATATCAGATATACAGGTCTTAATTTTAAAATTATAAATCTCACATTTACATGTACGTAGATATCCTCTCAGAAACCAACTAACAAATATATTACAGTATTAAAAGAGAATTATATTCATGTAACCAAATCGTTTCTCCTAACTTTCCACACAAGTACAACATCATTCAATGCAATTAGAGTTATAATAATTTAAATTATATACAGTAATAAGTAGTGTAAGCACCTACTAAATAGTTGTCTAAATTAATTTTAAATCCATCAGAGAGTCTATATAATGGCAGATACAATGTAATTAGGCAACTTTAAACAATAGTAAAATGGTTGGCGCCAATTTCTAGCTATTTGTTATACTCTTATCCAAAGACCTATGTATATATATTCCTTCTCCATATTATATAATTACAACATCGATCTCTTCATTATTATATCATAAAAAAATAATGAAAGATCTTGACACCAATATAGTCCACTATTGGCTAGTTGGCAACCCAATTATTAGTCAATTTGAGTTTAAGCATGGACAAACTTTTGGTGCCACTTTGTTATTTCCAATATTATCGATCTTAATTTACTTGTCTTTCACTCTACTATCTCTCCGTTTTCCATCACTCCTTCCAATCGTTTCCACCGCCACCCTCCGTTGTGTCACCGCCACCCACAGCCTCGTCCTTTGTATCCTCTCGCTTATCATGGTAGTTGGATGCGGCATCTCAGTTATCTACGAGATGGCCGCCAACGTCCATGACTGGAATTGGATCATCTGTTATAATATGTTAAATTACAAAAATGCCCTTCTTCGAGGACCTATTGTTTTTTGGAGCTACGTGTTTTATTTTTCCAAGATTCTTGAATTTTTAGACACCCTTTTGATACTACTAAGTAGGTCGAGATCTCGACGACTCTCGTTCCTCCACGTGTACCACCATGCATTGGTGCCACTCTTTTGTTATTTTGGTGTTGCAACTGGGCAATCCATGTGGCATGTTGGGGTGATCACTAATGCTTCGGTTCATGTACTAATGTATGCTTATTATTTCTTATTTGCTATTGGAAAAAAGCCAAGGTGGAAGAAATTGGTGACTAATGTACAAATT